AACGCCCATGTTCGTAATTTATTTTATTTCGCACATTTATTTTATGTCGTTTAAATAATCATGTACCTCTCCCATAGCCATGTAATGTTTAATTACTTTTCTCACTTTTATTCCTTTTATTTGCTTTATTTATCTTTCCGTCAAATCGGGTCCGGTTTAATTTTGGCGATGTGGACCCGCGCCATTTGTAATAGCCTTAGATTTACTTTTCCCGCAAATATTTTAACTGTTAACAAAAAGGCATGAAAGAATGTATGACTAAAATAAAATCAAGCGTAGATCACCAATAAACATGACAAGACAAATATCAATGAAAACGACACACGGTTCGCACACACCACCCCTAGGGTACGCCTCACTGTTGCCTTTCGAAAGGTGATCGTCGAGTAGAGGACGTCTTAGTAAGTCCTCATGATCCGGGAACCTGGCATGAGGGTAGCTTCTAAGGTGTCTTCCTATTGCTCTGGTGATCACCATGTCCCTACAAACTCGAATTGACCCGAACACCTCCAACGGTAGTGCTACCTACCTCTCAATGGTGGGATGGCACTACTTTAAAGGACATCTACACAGACGAATTCCTTAGGGTAGGTAGGTTCTCATGGGTACTTGCTCTAATTTCAAAACAAAATTCAAAAGACTTTTCACACCAACACATTTTCAAAAGCTTTCAAAGCAAACTTTTCAAACACTCTGACGCATGAGTCAAACTGAAATTTTTCAAAGAAACTTTTTAAACCCACATTGAAAAGCAAACAAACAATTTTGAAAACACATTGAGCAAGTATCTAAGAGCCCATGGATAACCATGGATAGAAAGGGTGCTAACACCTTCCCTTTCTATAACCTACCTCCCGAACCGAGAGCAATCTCTTTAAGGAATTTTTCTGTGCTTTTGTCCTTTCCATTTGGAGAAAATAAAAGACGGTGGCGACTCTTGCTTACCGCGACATTTCGCGAACCAGCGTTAAACAGTCAGTTCCAGATCCACCGATCACAGGAGGTATAGGCAAAAATTAGAGACATAAACAGAATAAATTTTTCTTGGTAGGTTTAAAACCCGCAAGGGAAATATAGGAAAAAGGTATGGATTTCCTGGAAAATAACTGCATCATACAAGACTTGATCATTGAAGCAACAATCTTTATGGATTCTCACCACTCTTCAACCGAAGTCGTTGCTCAGGAATTCAAAGTTGTTCGGGAGAATAGTGGTCATTGTATTTCAATGTATCTTTTCCAATATATTAACATTTTCTAAAATTTGTAATCATCAATGGAGTCTCGCCATTCGCAAACTACCATCCTATTAATAAAGCTTGAGCTTTTATCCTATTCTTCACGATTCTTATTTTATTCTGCTTACAAAGACTCCATTTATTATTGATAGTAATTCTCAAAGCAAACAAATTAAATAAAAAAATTGTCTTTTGAAAAGAATTTACAAATTACTTCTTGCTTTAGATTTTGTGACTCAAGTAGAACAAAAATAGTGACTCCAAGGATGGACGAACTCTGAAATTTTGGAAGTATGAATTCCCAAGGAAGGATCTCCTAGGTCACTTTTGCTGGTATGAGTATGTTCTTCTTGTGCTTCTCAATAATTGAAGATGATACCAATTGATGTGTGGTGCAGTGTTGGGTTTGTGATCCTATTTTCCCCAGTCAGGTCTTGGTTCATTTTAATTTAGGGTTTTCATGGTATGAGGTCTCTATCTCAGATTTCCCAGTAAGGTCTTCACTCACATGACGGAAGTCGATTCCCCTTTGTGTGCTGAGATGGAATCATTTGCAAAACATTGCTTTTTGCAGTATTAGCATTATGGTTGTTATTTGTTTTCCAGGCAAGCAGACAAGGGAAATATCTTCTCTAAGAAGTGTTGAAATAGTTGTCAACTTTTTGGGTTATCTCCCTCCAAGTGTTGGGTTGATTTAAAATCCCCATAATTTTGATTTCTTGTTGTATTGTTTGACTTCTTAAATCTCCAAGAAAAGTCGAGATAACGGGTCTCTCTGAAAATTGCTACCCCCATGAGGTTTCATAATTTCTCCCTAGAGAAGTTGGTGTAATCATCACTCTCAGTAATTAAGAATGTATCTTGGGTTCCCCTTGACGATGTAGTGTTGACTTCCCCAATGAAGTCAGTACGAAATCTTCAATTGATATCTCGACGATATGGTTTTCATCTACCCTATTGAAATCAGTATTGCAATTCCCAGTAGAAATACAGACTTAGAAACATTTTTTCCCCATTGAAGTCTGTTTGATATTCTCCGGTGAAGCCTGGAGGAGGATGTTATATCCCTGTATCTGTACTGATTTATTGTTATGATTTGATTATTTTCAGATTATGTTCCTTCCCAGTGAAGTTAAGCCGCGAAATAGGAATCTATTTCCTCAGTTGGTGCTTACTTTCTTATAAAATTTTCATCTTGGATGTGATTTAGCCGAGTATTGACTTTACCCAAGTTGGTTTTGTCTGGTTATCCTCAGTGTTATATGTTTGTTTTATCAGCATTTACATGATAACATTCATACAATCATACATACATCATGCATAGTTGAATTTAGCAAATCATTACGCATTTGCATTAATTAATATCTTGTTGGCATATTACCCTGTTTTTCAGAGTTATGTTATCCTCTCTCCAATAGAATGTCAACCTTAGGTAGAAAGTGTATATTCTTTCAATTTCCCAATTGAGTTATCCCTCGTGGAAGATTTTGGCTTTAGCCTTCCTGTACAACTCTTTGTCTGCATAGAAAGTGGTTCCCTCTTGAGTTTATTTCTCATGAGATGTTATTTTGGTTGACTGATTCATTCTGATTTATTTCTGGATTAAATCTATGGTCCCCAACAATGTTATTATTTTGATTTCTGTAAGCTTTGAGCCTTGGTTTGAGAATGTGCATTTTTTTTGCCATGAGAAGACTTTATCTCCTCAGCAGGAATATATTGACATTTCCCCAGGAAGTACTATTTCTTTCCCCAAGAAATTATTATTGCAATTCCTTCTCGTAACAGCAAATGGCAGGTCTCTTTATTTGAGCAACCTATACTTCCCCAGTAAGTCTGACAGTACCCAGAGAAGATTCAGATTTGTTACTCCAATGAATGGTAGCCTTGTCATTATGGAAGGTAGTTTGTTGTTGAGATTTGTTACTTCAATGAATGATAGCCTTGTCATTATTAAAGGTAGTTCATTGTTGAGATTTGTTACTCCAATGAATGGTAGACTTGTCATTATGGAAGGTAGTTAGTTGTTGAGATTTGTCACTCCAATGAATGGTAGCCTTGTCATTATGGAAGGTAGTTTGTTGTTGAGATTTGTTACTCCAATGAATGGTAGTCTTGTCATTATGGAAGGTAGTTCGTTGTTGATATTTATTACTCCAATGAATGGTAGCCTTGTCATTATGGAAGGTAGTTCGTTGTTGAGATTTGTTACTCCAATGAATGGGAGCCTTGTCATTATGGAAGGTAGTTCATTGTTGAGATTTTTTACTCCAATGGATGGTAGTGTCGTCATTATGGGAGATAGTTCGTTGTTGAGATCTTTTTCCGATGGATGGTAGTCTCGTCATCATGGGAGATGGTTCATCGTTGAGATTCACATTACTCTGAAGAAGTTCTTTTGTTCCCAGTTGTGAATACTGTTGCTAATCGTTTATTACCTACCCTAATATTGGTATTTACCGGAATCATCTTACCATTTCTTTCCCCAGTAGGTCGACGTTACTTTTTTTTCTATCTCCTCAGTGAGTGGATAGTTTGCAGTCATCTGTCGATCACGGTTATCCTTTACTTTATCTGCTCAATCTTTGAGTTGATGACACTGTAATACCCAAAATTTGTCCTACCCTTACACTTTTATCTGGCTTATACATTTTGCGCTTCTCATTCCATTTGCATACCCTTCATTAGGTCATTTAACACGTCATGCATCATCAATCAGTAAATTTGGCATGAGAACAAGAATCTTGAAGTTAGGGTTTTGTATGTGCTTTTAGAATCTTATCTTCATTCAGTCTTGAATCAATTGGTTTCTCATTAAATGTGGTTTGTGGAGCTAGGGTTTGGATTCTTGATCATTGAGAACTTCTTTCTCTCATTAAGCTACAAAGTTGTCATCTTCATCAAGGGCATGGTCATTAGGGTTCCACTAAAGGTTTAAGTAAAGACTTCATGTGTCAAGGCCTCATCATGGATAAGGGTTTGTTTGATTACCTGTTGAACAAGTCAAAGATTGGATCATCTTTTTATCAAGTCATCATAAGAGAAGAGGTGTTGACTAAGAATTTCTCATTCCCCATTAATACTCGACAATGGTTACATTGTTGGAAGAATACATGGGACTTTGTGGAATTATTAAGGCATTAAAGAAGGAAATTTGAATTTCAAATTTGAAAAGGAGGGAAACCTTTTATTCCATATTACTTGGTTGACAAAGTCCACACCAAAATCAGAAGTTCCTTCAAAGTTTCAAGTGCAATAAGCTATTACAAAAAGACCGGGCGAAAAATGATTTGACTTTATTCAAACTTTGTTCCTTACAAGGATAGAAGTTATTGCACTTCCATACATTTTCCATTTACCCCAATACCATTACATTCGAAAATTATAGAAATTTTTTGATCTAATACCTAAAAAACTCATCCTTCAACATCCCTCCAAGTCTTCATATGATTTAAGTCTATTTGTCTCCATGTTCCTACAATTCTTCCAAATTCTTCTTCACCTACAAGTTACCTTGCAGCCAAATTCCTTCAATTAACCTCATCACCTGACCTGTAACACAGACAACAACAAAAAATCATTCATACACATGCAGCCCTGCAATCTACAATTGAAGCTGCAACCTATGTTCTAAGTCATACATCAAAGTTCAAAATCTCATTTAAATACTGACATCCTGAAACCTGCAGCGCCAAGGAAATAAAAATGGAAAGATACCGAGTCAATATGCACCTTCGCCCCATGAAATATATGCCTAAAATAACTATGAAATCATTACTGTTGCAGACGTGAAAGTAGACTTGTAGAACATAACATGTGCATTATTTTGTTCAGCATGTAGCACCAAGTTGGTCATGAGTAAGCAATCCACTTTTTGATAAGCCTCCAAGATCAAAAGACAATACAGTGACATTGATGTCCTAGGCATGATGCAAAGCAAAGCCATAATTCACGTGAAGCAAGGTAAATTAAACTTAGGATAAGAAAGAGAAAAAAAGATGAGCTAAGAGCATATAATTAACATAACTTCTAAAACCGATTCAACACTCCCAAGTTCTGCAAATAACCCCAGCATCCGATTATTTGGTAGCTCAGCTGCTAAAAATCATAAAGACAAAACAAAGTAAAAAAATTATCCTTCCAGTTCATTATACAACAGGGAAGTGAAATAAATCTCATCCAAACACAAGATGCAACACGCTAGTTCAATACCAAAACCAGTTTCCAAGATAAAATCAAAACTAACACAAACTCTCCAAACAGAAAACTAACAGAATATCCAACCTCCAAAACTAACTCTAACCAACTTATAACCAATCTCTAACTCACTTCCCAACTTCCCAGCAGAATTAACAAAAAAATCGCATAGCTCTCTAATAGAATCTCCTAAAAACCGCATAGCTCTCTAACAGACACCTAACTGTCTTGTAACAATTTCATAACGACCTCTAAACAGAAACTAATAGCCCTGTCCATAACCCCTCTAACTGATTTCTTAACAGATTTCTGCCTAACTCTTCCATCCCTAACTAACTTCTAACAGTCTCTAACTCCCTCAGAAACCCGTAATTGTTTTTCCCTAACAGTTTCCAATCTCTCAACAAACTAACCAACTACCTATAACAGTTCTTCAACCAACCAAAAGTAGAACTCTCTAACCTGCGACTAACTTTCAGGATAACCTCCGAACCTCCTAACTATTTCTAACAACTTCCAACAAACCTATAAGAGATCATAACAGAAAGGGAGGAGGGAGTTTTTTTCACGATTCATCATTTCATTCATACTAAAATCGGTTAGAGAAGAACTCACCAGAAAATAATTAGAGAAGTCTCTTTCGGCTCTCTTCTTGATTAATCTTCCCTCTCTCTCGTTCTTCAATCACCTACTGCAACCTTGCAATCTTCTCTATCTTCACCATTTCTCCCATTTTTCATCACCTTCTACCTTCTCTCTCCATCTCACCCCTTGAAAATTCATCATACAACATTCATTCTCAAAGGCTTCCTGACTCTTCATTCATCATCTTGCTTCATCCTCTCAAGTATCTGCAACAACAGCTATCAGATCATCATTTGTAGAGCGATACAGCCATAACTATGATTCAAGAGACGAGAAAGTGAGGATCTACAGAAGAAGAGGAAATTGAAAATGAACAAGAGAAGAGGAAGCTCCCCGAAGCATCTGGACGAACGCTACAAATGTAAGATGACGAGGTAAATGTTTTCTTCGTCTTTTTCTTTCGTTCCTTCATGATATCGTGTAAGCAAGAACGTAGAACTTCATCCCTGTTCTTGCTCGACTAAACGCCTCCGTGCATGCCATCTCTTTGAATCTTCACGGATTAGGTTTGGATTTTTTTACTTTAGATTTAGAATTAACACTTAAAATAGGAAGAGATCATGGATGGATTTGGATTTGAGAGAGAAATTGAAGTGGACCATGCCGAGTTTTGTTTCATACGCCACCGTCACGGCCGCTATTGGCGCGATGAAGCGTGCGTTGGATTTTGAAATCGAATGAATAGGGAAGAAGTGAAGATAAGATAAGGTTAAGAGTCTCTTGAGAAGCTGAACGACGTCGTTTCTTGCTTTATGTTTTTTTTTTAATTTTTTAATTTTTATTTCTTTGTTTAATTAACTGAGATTAGAAAATTGAGAAAATCTGGACATCTCTCTAAGTGACTAGGCCCTGCGAGATTTACTATCCATACACTGCTCCTGATCCATTGCACCCCCGGATTCTCTTATTTTCTTTTTATAATTATTTTTAATTCTTTCTTTCATGATTTTTTTAATAACAAAAATACATAATAAAAATGGTAAAAATTATTATAAGACATTTTAGAAATTAATTAGGAATTTACTTCCCTTTTTACTAATTTTTAGTCAATTTTAATCACTAATTTTACTCATTTTATGACATGTATTTCGTTTGCGATTTTTGGTATAGATTGTATGCAATACTTTGATACTTGCTGCCTAATTTTACTTGTTTGTATATTCTTTCATGATTCCTTAGGAGATTTTGGTTCAAATTTAATATTCGATTTAATTGAACTAAAATTAGACATTAGGCTTTTAAATCCAAGCATGCAAACATTAGGTTGAATTCCCTCAAAATTCCAATTTTAGGTCTAATGATGCATAATAGCATTAGGTTTAGAAATAGGCTAGTTTTCCTTTGAATTTTCTTTCCCCTTTTTCATTTGCATTAAAATAAAAACTTCTTTTACCTTTCAAACTTCTAAACACTTTAAAAAGAATCATACCTCTGTTGAGTATGGGAGATGATAAGTGGGTGTCTTCTCGATCTTATTGTTCTTCCGTCTCAGGCCTAGGTATGGTTCAAGTCTCAAAGGCTCCTTTCATGGATAAGTGGAAAAGTGGATAATATCTCTCTCTTGAGGTTAACTAGTCATTATCCGCAACAAAACACAAAAAATCAAAAGTGGAATCTTGCCTCGAGGACGTAACTCGAAACCTTTTTCAGGTAAGGACGTGATTAATTTACTTTTGTGCCAACGCATAAGTCTCTGAAGATCAAGCTGTGGCAGAAGGCGGAATTAACATTGTTCATAAAAAACACAAACAAACAAAACATGTTAGCCGAACTACGGTAGCTCTGATTCCTCAAAAAAGATACGTAGGCATTGGGGTAGGGCCCAATCGAGTACAACTTTATTTTCCCTACATTCTTTTATCATTCCTTTTGCATGCATTCTCCCTTTAGTAGTATTAAACATTAAGCATAAATTAAACACACCTATAAGATAGATAACATGAGTGGATATCATAGAGTACTACGGGCGTGTGGGGTGCTAATACCTTCCCCTCGCGTAACAGACTCCCTTACTCGATCTATCAGTCGCAAGACTGTGACTTCTCCCTTCTCAAGTTTTCTCGATCTTTACCTTTCCCTTCATGTGGGATAAAAGACGTTCGATGGCGACTTCATTGTTTGATGATTTTTAACCAGTTGTTTCAGCTGGCGACTTCACTGGGGATAGGTCGACCAAATGCTGGTCCATCCCGGAGTTGCTCCTAGCTCTTGTTTTCTTCTCTTTGGGTGTTTATTTATATGCTTTATGGCTTATTCATTTTGTATATACCTGAGCATATGCATGCATTGCATTTTAGTGTTTTCCATATACTACTGATGTACTGGATCTGCTTCTTGATTGGGTTGGGTATTACTATTGAGGTAAAAGGCCCAGTACCCTGGCCAGAGTGCACTAGGACACTAGGAATAGAGTGGGTGCATGAAGGCTATAGGAAGTGGTCCGACTAGTGCAGTCATGTCATATACCATGCTCACATGAGGTTCAATTGGAGGTATTTTCATCATGCACGTCTGTGTTACGATGATTTTACTTTCAAGCGAACCGATGATTTTCGAGTTACCCTTGCCTTACCTTGACCTAGTCTTCACCCGTGAGTGGGGAGGGAATTATTATCACAGGTATAGTTGGTGACTATGTTCATATGGTGACTATGATCAGACAGTGACTATTGGTTCTAATGGATATGTTCTGGATTTCTGTTGGTGACTTATTCATATGCTATATTCTGTTGGTGACTATGGGGTTCTCGATTTTTTTATGAGTTCCTGACTTGTTTATTTGGAGGTTCATTCGGGCCTTCGATCTTGGTATTCCCAACATGTTCAGAAAAGGCTCAACAGTATCCGATGTTCCAGAAGTCTAGATCCCGTAAAATGGAGGATCTACATGGTACTTGGTTCTTGTATGTGCGAAGCTATACCGGACCTTTGAACTGGTAATATTCATATGATTAAGAACAATGCAACAATCATATTCAGAAATGATAGAACTTTGATCCCATTTGATCCCATGTCTTTGCATACATAACATGGTTAACCACATGCTTAACATACATATTCTATTATTTCCAGGGAATCATATTTTTAAGCCTCGTGTTGAACTTTTCCATCCCTTACTTGCGTAAAATCAAAATCAAAACATGTAAATTCCTTGGAAATGATGGAACATGACATGGCATCCATTCATGCACCCCATGCATATTCATGCATCCATAATAGGTATTCAAAGATTCAGGATTCTTATTCAGACTCGGTTCTCTCTTCAGAGGTTCAGACTTGATTTCTTACCACACATGTTCAGAGATCGGTACGGGATAACTCTGTGGGGGATTAGTCGATACGAAGATCCTGATAGGATTAATCACAGTATACTTGCAAGCTTTGGCCTGTGGCTGGAAATTCTTTGAGAATGAAGATAATCAATTAAAGACTCAAGTGAGCCAGGGCATGAAAGCTTTGATGATGATGTCAACAATCTTACACCTACTACCGCAGCAAGTTCTCTCTTCTCCTCATCTGTTGGGAATTACTTTCAACCATGGATTACTACACAATCTTGAGTTCTTGGAACATCTTATCAGCATATGGTTCCCATTTACTATGGGATCTTATATCAGTGCTTCTTTCTTGTTGACCAACGTCCGATGTGGTTTCCACACCGGGGCACCTAACTTTTCAATCAGGGGCATTCTCTACAGCTTTGTGTTCCCTGATCTGTTCAACAATAGCCAGTCTTTATTCCCCAAGTGAATTCATGGGTGAAGCTTTTAAGAAAAGATGAAAGAAGCCTGATGAACATGTTTATATGATTCCATTGCATTACATCTTGTTATTTATAGCTCTGATCTTTGGGGTCCTTCTCCCATAAACATCTCTTCTAATTGTGATACACATGCTAGATGTATCCCCTATTCTGGGGAACCCGGTTTTGATATTGGAAACTGTAAAGGGGTTGAAGTATAAAGCCCAGCATCTGTCTAGCGTCTCTTCCAAAAGCCTAATTCCTATTTGGCCAACTATTGGACTCTTTCTCACAAGTTGGATGTCTCTGATGTTTGGATAGAAGACGAATAGTATTGTTTCTTTATGGCGCAAGATGCTTGG